TTAAAAGTTTGTGTGGATGTTTAGGCTGCTGTTTATTTCAACAAAATACAATGCTTTTGCTTTGAGGAACAACGGCTTCTTCCAGGAGAGCAGATTGATATGCCTGTAAGTAAATAGTCTAAAATACCCTTTTCCCATGAAATCTAGTTAACTACATATGGTCTAAAATGCCCTTGGAAACAAGTTGACTTAGAAGCAAATGTGTTGTAATGACAATATGCAAGTTAAGCGTTTTGTAATTGCTAAAAAAATGAAATGTTATGTAAAAAGACTAAAATGCCCTTCATTGTAGGTGTTCTTTTACATTGACCCAGAGTTTGAAACGGATCCTAGGATGGATGGTATTAACAATATAATTCTTTCGTATACATTCTTCAAGATTGCTGAAGATAAGTTATGATTGTTTTTTCTTTTATCATCATATGGAAAATTGATTTTTTTTTTTTAAAGTTTTTGTTTCTATACATTGTAGTCATACGAAGAGTTTGTATCTTGTTGTTTATGGATGCCAAGGTCATTGAGAATAAAAGTATGACCAATTGATCTGTTTATGTATTTTATGCATTAATGAGTTGTACCTTTTGCATGTAAAGGGTACAAATGTATGTTGAGATCTCAATATAGTAAAGGCGATTATGCACTTTTTAGGTTATGGAATGATCATTGTTGAAGATTATTAATAACACCAATTAAAGGTGTATTAACATTCTTTTGTTACTTTACTTTAGAGAGTTATGATATTATTAACAATCAAGCGTAACTAACTAAATAAATGTTTATTAGTTATTCGATCACAAGTCAAGAAAGAAATAGAAACTTTTCTTTTATGTTGATTGGAGTCTGTTCTTCATACTACTCGTGTGGATAACATATAAGATAATATTCTAGTTTTAGGTCTCGTTTGATAGTTTCTGTTTGAGAAAGTGCTGTTTGGGAAAACTTTTTGATCGGGAAAGAAACCATACTGTTTAATTGTATGTTTAATTGTACAACTGATTGATTGTGCTGAATGATGAAAAAAATAAATAATTCAATAAAAAATAAATTTTTAAAAAGTTATTTAAAAAAATTAATAATCAAATAAAGAAATAAAGAGGCGAGATTTGATGTATAATTGTCTTTCCAACCCATTCAGTCAGAAAGATATGATTTTGGGGTTTTCTGGGAAAGATATATCTTATTGGGAAAGATCCATTCTTTTGTAAAAATCAAACAGTCTTTTCGATCCATTAAGCCAGAAAGATCTGTTTGGACCTGAAAAAATGTGTATCAAACGGGGCCTTAATCTTGAGTTTTTACACCAAATGATTTCCACTACAACCTTGAGGTAAAATTCGATTCCTCTTGCATGATTAATCTTGTTTGATGGATGTTTGGCTAAGCTTATTAAAAATGCTTATTACTTTGTAACTTATAGATTATTAGCTTATAACGGTTTCAAAACGGATTTTTTTAAAAAAAGTGTTTATGATTTTTCATAAGATTAGCCAAACATCTTCTTAGTAACTTATCAAAAATTACTTATTTATGGTTCTACACCATTATAAATTGTTTTTAAAAAACAACCTATTCAAATATTTATTTTAACTTATACCAATGTAGAACCGATAATATATTAATAAACTTATTTTTTAAGCTTAACCAAACATCCTCAATCCACTTTTGGGAAGTAAAACTTTAAAACCGTATATCCGCTATATTTTTTGTTACACAAATGTTTTGTATGCTATAATTTGCAACCGTGTTTAAAAAGCTTGTATCTCTTGATTATCTTGGAATTTTTAGTTTGCTTCCTGACGTCATCCTCATGGAATTTTTGAAAAGAAAATAAAATTTTAAATATTTAAAAATTGTTGATATCTAACTTTTAATGGCCTGATATTAACTTTATTAGTTCAAAATTATTTATTATACAATATTAACATAAATAATCAAATTACTTCTAGTTTAGTGATATCAAGTGTTGTTTTCACTTCTTAAAGATAAGAGTTCAAGTCCGGAAATAATTAAAAGTAATTTTCGAGTGCCATCCAAAAAAAAAAAAAAAGAAAAAAGAAAAAAGAAAACATTCATAGATTTAATAAACAAACCATTACAATGTTTTCGGATGTGAATGTAGGTGCATCAACTGTATCCGTTTTTAGTCACTGTGATTGGCTGATGTTATAATTGTAATGGTTTTTGGGATTTGAAACCTTATAATTATCGTTATAATTAGGAAAAATTACATGTTAACCTAACAATATATATTGAATTTGTTGATTCAGTCCCTTAATTTATTTGTGTGCTTTATGAGAGAATAAAATTATTTTTATCGGGTCTAATTGGTAATTTTTGAAGAAATAAAGGGGTAAGTTGATGACTTCTTTGTCACCTCATTAAAGCAATCCAAGTGTAATTGTGTAACGACCCAAAAATCACGACTAAAAATTTCTTTTAAAAACATTACTAAAACCATATTTATAAAAACCGCATCATAAGTCATAACATAATTTCGGAGTATTAATCCAAAACATAATCTTATTATCAGAGTAAACATTTCCAGACTAACTGACTATGGTGTGTGCACTGCAACCTATCCGAGCTCCTCTTTTGAAATCTGAGTACCTGAAACCAAAAACTGAAACCGTAGCACGAAACTTAGTGAGCTTCCCCAAACTACCACCTACCATACAATAACATATAAAACACATATTGGGCCTTGCCCACTACATCGGACCGAGGTCCAGACTAACTGGGGCCTTGCCCCCTGCATCAGACCGAAGTCCGAAACTGGCTGAGACCTTGTCCCCTGCATCGGACCAAAGTCCGGGCTAATTGGGGCCTTACCCCTGCATCAGACCAAAGTCCGGAAACTGACTGGGACCTTGTCCCCTGCATCGTACCGAAGTCCGGGCTAACTGGGGCCTTGCCCCCTGCATCGGACCAAAGTCCGGAAACTAAGTGGGACCTTGTCCCCTGCATCGGACTGAAGTCCGGACTAACTGCATCGGACCGAAGTCCAGAACTAACTAAACATAACATAACATAAACATATCAACTAGAATGAACACATATATTGCATACTGCATCGGGCCGTAGCCCGGAACACATAACACATAAATCCTGTCTGAGCCACGAAGGCATCAAACATACTAACTACTGCATCGAACCGAAGTTCGGAAACTACTGCTAGCTAAACGGGTCGGCATTGTGGCCTTAGACCCATTTCTAATGGAAGGAAAGTCACCTGAACTGCTGATCTCTGCTGATAACCCTCTGGCTGCTAACCACCAACCTTTTGAGGCGCTGCTCCTCTAGCTCTCTGTGCTACCAATATCAATATAACACTTAATCTGACAGTCCTCCAAAAAGTCAACTAATTCAACTCTTGTCAAAGTCAAAGTCCTAGTCAAAGTCAACCTTCCAGGTTGACCCTACTCGCCGAGTCAGCCTACTGACTCGTCGAGTTCATAAGCTCAGAAACCCCTTTCATTCGCGACTCGAATCGCCGAGTCAGACCATGACTCGCCAAGTCTACTGATTTCCGAGTCCTGACCTGTCCAGCTCACTGAGTCCCCACTCAACTCACTGATCCAAGTCTTAACTCGAAGGGTTTGGGGGTTTCGCGACTTGACTCGCCGAGTCCAAGAACGAACTCGCCGAGTCTAAGGCAATCTTCAACAGACTCGCTGAGTTGTTCATCCAACTCATCGAGTTCATCTCCATCTTCATACTACTCGCCGAGTCCATTCAAAGGACTCGCCGAGTCTATTCAGTCCTTCAAACATTAAGAGGCTTTTGAGTCATGCATGGACTCCAAACTGCAGATCCACTCTTCTAAAGCCTATTCCTCACGTAAAGTGGAAAAATTTACATGTAACTAAGGTGATCTAGGCTCAAGACACTATACACTAGGGTTTAAGACAAGGAGGCTTTATAATCAACCCATATACTAATGCTTTATTATTCTCTAGACCAAGATACACTTAGATCTGAAGTAGCAACTTTAGATCTGAGCTTCTAACTCGAAATGGTTCTTAAACTTGACCTTAAAGCCCCAAATCTCATGTTAAAGGTTGATTTATATGCAAAAGAGTGAAGGTAGCGACTCATTACCTTCAAATGCTCTGAAAAATCCCACAAACTCTGGATCTACTGCCACTCCTTGAATCCCTAATGGTTCCCTTCTACCTTCTTCCTTCAAATCACCCAAAATGGCAAGAAAGCTTGAATGTGCAACAATGGAGGCTTAGGGTTTTGTATTATGAATAACAGAGGCTACAAGGAACCCTAAGGGAGAGAATGAGATGCTTAAATAGTGCACAAAGTCTCAGATTTAGGGTTCCCCTCTTCAGACCGGACTCGCCGAGTCCTCTTTGACGACTCGCCGAGTCAGTTACTTAATCGATCCTCTGGATCCCACTCCGACTCGTCGAGTTCCTCCCTGGACTCGACGAGTTGACCCTTTGACTTAGGGTTTTCTTTCCTTTATTGGCCTTTCTGATTTTGAGTGTTACAAATTGCTAATTGTGTGTCCTTAGGATTTTTAATGAGACCAATACTGACAACACTTAATTCATCATTTCTCCTCCATTTGTATATATTTCCTTCCTCCATTTTATTTCCTCAACCATGGCTGTCTACATCATTTTGGATGTTCACTTCCAAAGATCTTTGCCAAGTACCCCAAGCTGCAAAACATTGATTTCGCAGGCATAGACAAGGACGGGTGCTACGTGTTCATGGAAAGATTCACATGAGAAAAATGTGATAAGCTCTATTATTGTTTTCCTGATGTTGATTTTCCAAAAGGTTTGAGGTTAATTAGGAATGAACTTCAATATGCTAAATTTATAGCCATTGCGTATGAATGTGGTGTTAAAATTCTAATGTATGCAGACCATTTTGGTAATACTAACATGAAAGAGTGGTTAGATGAAGATAGAGAGGAAGTAGTAGATAATATCCAGGAATAAGTAGAGTATGATGTACATGCTAATGTTGAAACGAGTGAGACAATGCATAGGAATGAAAATTTCAACCCTTATTTTTTCAAAAAAGATAATGCTCCAGATTGTGTGATGGGTGAGAATATAGGTCATTGTAAACCTGTTGATGTTGACATGGCTGAGAATGAAGCTGAAGAAGTTGATGTTGCTGATGATTTGCCAAATATTTTCAATGAAGAGCAACACTGGAAGGAGAAAAAACCTATGAAAGGTATGAGGTTTGCGAATCCTAAACAACTCAAAAACACACTATGTAATTATGTAGTTGCAAATGGTTATCAACTATGTTTTATGAGAAATGATAGTAGAAGGGTATTAGTTAAATGTTGTGATGTAAACTATACTTTTAGGCTTTGGGGGTCATGGATGAGTGACGATCAGTCTTTCCAGATCAAGTCTCTTGTAAATGAGCATAATTGTGCTAGGAATTTCAATTTTGGCTCATTTGCCACTTACATATGGATATGAAGCAATTTCACTCAAGAATTTATAAACAATCAGAAGATGAGTGTTAGACAACTTAAAGTGTAGGTGAAGAACACATTTGACATTAAAGAGAGTATGATTTAGTGTATGAGAACCAAGAAATATGCTTTCACTTTAGTTGAAGGAACATATATAGATATTCAAAAAGAGCCAATACACTAGAGAATATCTTAGGGTTGTAATTGAACAAATAAAATGCAATAGTCGAATAAACATTTGTAAATTTGCAAGTACAAAAATTGATTAAAGCACACACAATAAGTAAAAATGATTGCGAGAACACAAAGATATACGAGAAAAGCCCTTAATCCTTTAGGATTTCTAGTATAAAACATCAGGAGGTGACAATGTCACACTTCCTTAGAACTTTTATTAAATAAATGCTAGCTGATTATGATGATTGTGTAATTATGTTCAAGAGTGAATCGTGTAATTTTGTTCAAGTGTGTTCAAAGAGAAAGTGATGGTAGAAGTCAGAACATGTCTATGAAGTATGATCAACTAGTCTTATATGAAGATATATATATATATATATATATATATATATATATATATATATATATACACAAGGATCTTATAACTAATTGTCCTAATATCCCGGGATGTTCCTTGATTCATGATTGACCCGATATTTAAGAAAAACTTCAAATTTATTTTACTTTGACAACATGTCCTTTAACTTGGTCCATCCCTTTTCAATAAAGTCTTTAATCCTGCGTATAAAATCACAAGAAATATGATGTTAATACCAATATATTGACTAATCGAAGATCTTGAGTTACCTAGGATGTTAGTATAAGTTCAGTAAATTTTTAATAAGTAAAGGTGAAAATTCTACCCATCACAACCACCCCCATAAATCTTCAATCCAAGATCTTAGGAGTTGGAGATATATAGAATTGAAAATCAACCGTTATATGCTAAAGAGACGCAATGACTGTTTGATTTCCCAGGAAAGATAAATTCTTTTCGACCCGTTGATTAGATATTCTTCCTTATAAATTTGATTTAACATTTTCTTAATTTCTGCGTCTCAGAGGTAATTCTTTCTTTATCTCTTCAATTGTCTTTTTTTTTTTTTTGTCATGGAAGAAGTCCTTATGCTATCAGAAACAAAAAATAAGGGTTTTGTATATGATGATTTTTTTTGAACCGACAAATCTAACCTCCTAAGCTAACAACACCTATTCCACCTATGTCCACGATGAGACTTGAACCCTCGACCTCAAAGAGGGAGGACACCACTTGATACCGTTGGGCTACAAGCCCTTTGGTATATGATGATTTTATTGACTTGGGTATATTGACCAAGAAGTAAAACCCAAGTTGTAATTTTTCCAACTCTAGAAATAAGCCCCTTCAATCGGAAGGAAAATTTCCTTCTCAAACCATTTTCACGGGTTCTGAATCTCATTTAAGACATAAGTTTTTGTCCTCATTAATGGGCCTGTTTTTATCACCTTCTGTTTCTATTAGGTTCTCTTTTCCTTTTCCTTTTCCTTCACTGATTTATGCTTTTTTCATTGTAACCAAGTTTACCTATGCTCAAATTATGCCCATGGATTGGCGTACTTTATTACGGATTGATCATGTCAATAAGATTAGAAATCTTAATCTTGGTCTATTTGAGATTGCGAGTCATTACAATCTTCAAACTTTTGGGATTTCTTGAATCATATTTAAAATAAGACTCGGGAAACCTCACTTAGTCTTGAATACATCCTATGATAATGACGGATGAACGAGAAAATATTTCTTTGTAAATAGGAAGTATCTTGAGAATGGTGAGTCATTTTCCCTTGATTTAATTTCGGATGCTAGGGGTTCTTGACTTTTAGTGTGTGTAACACTTGTTTATGCATATTAATTTTTCTATTTTATTCCCGCCAAAGGAAGATACTGAAGAGAAGTTTCAAAGGTTTTTAAGCTTACTGGTGGTTGTCGATGCCAACAAAATAAATAGCCTTAATATTGTACACAAAAATATCGTATAATGGTAAAGTGATCGTATCCACGGAGATTGGTTCAATTTTATAACTCTATGAATGTTTCTTTGTTCAAGCACTTATGAAACAAAAATAAAAGTAAAAATGGGGGTTTAAATCTTTTTCGTTGTTTTGAGAAAACTAAAATTATACTAGAATGTAGAAATTGCAAATAAACAAGTAAAATGTTTAATTTGAATCAATGAAGGGAAGTTGGTTGACATTGGAATTCACCACACATATTTCTTAGTTAACTTATCATTAGACAAAATGGTGAAATACTTATGATTTTATTTAACTTGGCTATAGTAGTTCATAAGCATAAATCACCTCAACTCTTCTTTATTATTAAAATGGCTATAGAGAAGCTCATAACACATTTTGTTAATCAAAGTCACAAAACTAATGAAGCATGTAATTTTGGGAAAGTCAATTAGCATTAAGTTTTAAGAGTAATCAAATGCTTACATTATCATTATAGAGGAAATATTTCCACGGATTAAGTGAAATGAAAATAAACAGATAAACCATTTGTTGCTTAATAATATAGGAGTCCATTACTTAACCAATAAATCAGCAAAAAAAGGAATTCATTCATCCATGCTCATGATCAAAGACAAAAAAACATAAAAAGATATTTAACTAGAAACATTTCCATAAATTTCAAACACAAGTTCATAAGAAAGCTGCAAAGTAGCTAATCATCCATGGGTTAAACCAACATCAACCAAAGAATAACTTAGCCTAACATGGCTAAGATTAAAGAAAAGTAAGATAGTCTAGAAATACCAAACATTGTTCAAGATGAAAGATGAAAAATCCACCAAATCTTTCAGTCTTCTTGAGAGAAAATTTTGTGTATTCTTCCAAAGAGTTCCCCCTTCTTAGCTCTCCATATTTAGTCAAATATGATGAAAAATCATATCTAAAAGTTGTCCAAAAAGTATCCTACCAAACTTCCCAAAGTAGAGGCAAGAGGTTAAAATCCAGATTCTTCATTGAACGGTCGACACGAACCATTTGTAGATTCATGCGTACTGCGTGTAAGTGCAGATTGGGACATTTTGGCCCAATTTCAAATGGGATTCCTTCTCCATTGCTTCTTTTCTTGATCCAGCCCAAATGCAAGGCTCTTGATAGCCCAAATATGTCATCTAAACTCTTCAAAGATGTTCCATTGCTCCTTTATCTTCCAAAGCTCATATTTTCCTCATCCTACCAAAATGAGATCCATGTACAGTGAAGAATCGAGCACGTGATGAATAATGGGTGCCACTGTAGTTGCCAGCCAAATATGAAATCTAAACTAGAAATACATCAAAATAGAAACGAGCTACATAAAATAGAATCCAAAATAATCTAAACATCTAATGAATGAAAAATAGATGCAACTCCTTGGCTCGAGCTTTTTAATATATATATATATATATATATATATATATATATATATATATATATATATATATATATAACCCAAGATACAATTACGATTATAAAAATGAAGACATAAACTACTTCCATAAAACCTTTAAACACAAAATCAGAAAAAATACCAAAAACTTCTAACTATATTTACATTTTATAATTGTGATAATATCCGACTTTTCTAAGGAATTTTAAAGGCTTTTAAAAACCAAACCAACAAAATAAAAACTTCAACTTTTCAAATGGTCAAAATTTGACTCTTCTAACTTAAAAAGAACAGAGGACACTTCACATAACACATAACAAAATTTAGGCATTTACCAAGAATTCTTAAAAATTGATGCAAAATGTTTCGAACGATGTTTTAAACAAAAGCCTATGATTTATGAGACACCAAATAACTACAAAAGGGACAATTCTAGAAATGGGTGTTTTTTAGCTCACTTATTTGGTTTGCCAAGGAGTTTTACATAGGCTGCGTCAAGTAAAAATACAAAAAACAACTGTATACAAACCACAAGGGACATCTAAATCCGACTCAAGAAAAAAGCTAAACAAAAAACTAAAGCAAGATAAATCTGAAAGCTAAGCATAACTAAAAATAGGCTAAATTGAGATCAAATGGGAAAAATGTGTCTATATCATAAGGTGATGTGATATGATATGAAATGCAACAGATAGACACTAATGATCTCAAAATTGCAAAATATAGTTTTTATTCCTTTCTTTGGGGTTTGATTTTGGTTTGTAAGGAACATGCAAGTGAGGAACTAGTCAGCTTTAGGCTAAGTTGTCCCTTAACTTATGCCAAACTTGCCATAAGTTGATTCATCGGCATAACTACTTGCACTCTCTCTCTCTCTCTCTCTCTCTCTCTCCCTTACCCCCCCCCCACACACACACATATATATATATATATATATATATATATATATATATATATATATATATATATATATATATATATATATATATAACCCCAAACTGTAGATCTGGCCATAAAGGCTGAAAGACCACGTAAAGTTTCCAACTTTACCTACAAGCATGCTTAGAAGAAGCTCAAAGGCTCAAAAGAAGCCATAAGATGGACTTAATGAATGCATGGAGCCCTTAAGATGATAAAGTTGGCTCCTTTATGCCAAAAGAGCTCATGAGGATCATAGATCTGAAAAAATAACACCTGGGACATCCTACAACCCCACCAACCACCCAAACATGACGAAAAGCATCTAAACTAACCAAAAAAGAGATCTAATCAAATATTTAGCAAGGTTAGAACTTTATAAATGAAATATGTTGGAAATGGTGCAAAGAATCAAGATCTGAAGGCTCTATTTGAATCACCACCTTGCACCAAGCTTCTCTTCCTTCAGTGAGCTTAAAACACACCAAAACACACCCATAATAAGCTCACAACACTCAAGGAGGCTCTAGGGTTTCGAGATTAGGGTTAAAGGCTATGGAGGCTTGAAATGAGGTCAACACTTGGGACTTAAGGTGTTTAAATAAGGCGCAAAACCCTAAAATTAGGGTTTCCTCCCCTGCTGCTAACTCTTCGAGTTGAAGCACCTC